ACTCGCCTTCAAGATTGAATCAGTCTAGATCAGCAATCTAAACTCATTCAAATACAGCTTCGCAGAAAAGGGAGAGCCCACATATACCGCAACCACCCACAGGTCCCTTCCCGAGCTGCTAAGGTCAATCAGTATGCAACAGTGGATTCAGTAAGGTCAGTGATTGTGAAAGCAACTCAAAAGAAAAACCAAACGAAAAAGTAAGGATATACTATCACTGTCTTCTTAACTACGGGTCGACTAACAGTTGAGCGCAAGAGGGAAACGTTCCGAGTAAATATCCGATTACTGAAAAAACAATCTTGAAGCATATTAGAAGTCTTGAATGCCAAGAAGCACTAAAAGATCCACTTTCCTCAAACTCCTCTTGATGCTGACATTTTGAGCCCTTTGAATCTCCGTTGGTAGCATCTGAAGCCATTTCGCTCCCCGAAAAATAAAGGAGCTGGATACCTTGGTACGATGTTTTCTGGGTAGTTCGGGCATACTAGAGAGAAGTACATCGGTACGCCCACGGGAGGCCGGAACACACAGTAATTGCTTGGCTTCAGCTTCATTTCGCCTTCGGTTTGGGTAGCACCTATACATCAGTATTTTCGTGAAGGTTTTATCGAACCGCTCTACATTCTACCTTGGAGTTTTCTGGTACACGGACTCCAAATTTGTGATTCGTATTCCAATATCGACATTACATACAGCGGTCAAAATTTTGGAACTTTTTTGTTTTTGACCTAGCGCATCCAGTAGATAACGGGATTGTCCCGAATTCACATATTATATTATATTACGAAGATAAAGTGCAGAATACGACGTGCTACATCACTCCTGGGAATTGAAAATCGTATTAAGAAATGATTTTTTATAAGAAGTGGCGCGTCAATGTTTGGAAACTCCTCCATTCCAAGTGAATTTGGCAAAATAGCTCTTAAATCCACATGATAAATTAGCAATTTGATGAGTAGCTCTGAAGTTTATGCTAGCATCGTTTTTATTGATATGGAATTGATTTGAACATAATTTTAGGACTTTTAAGTGAAACCTACACTTTGTGAACTGAATCAAATTGTTTGGTGGATTCTTCACTGGAATGTGGATTGTACGACATGCCAGCTCTTTTTGTAGTGCAGAACTCAGTTAGGTTCCAGATCTTGACTTGGCCTCTTCACAACAGCTTTTTTCCTGGTTCAAGGAAGGCGGCCATGAGGAGGTAGGCCCGCATCGGATCAATGTTGTAAAAAAACCCATATTTTCTGGACAGTTCTGACTATCGAAGAGAAGCATTGTATTCTCAGACCATCCTTGTATTTAGCCCAACCCACATTTTCTGGATACTAAGAACTGGGGAATCGCCGAATGGTCGGACACATCGTCATCCATGACATACTTCCACTCTTTCTGACTCTTGGAGTTTGATACCCAAATGAGGTTTCCATTTGACAGAACACTTGACAGGGCTCACAACATCATTTCAGAAAGGCAGAAATATCATTTGTCGCTGAGCACAAGTTTTACCTCTCGCCTTCGGTCCATGTTAGCCGTTAGTGTGCGGAAGCCAGTTGGGCCATCCTGCTCTTGAAGCCAACAATGGCTTCTTGTTGGGACATCTTCCATAATATTCGCTAGGTCCCGCCGATGCTGACCTGCACTTGGACTTCCATTTGACCAGATCCGAAAACGCGAAAAAGTAGTTTTTGGTTGGGGATGTCGGTTGACGGAACATGCCAACCATCTTCGAAGTCCTTAAAAAGGGCAAATTCTCTTGTGGGGATGTTTTTTGTGGAATACCATTCTCGACACACATGTACCATTCTTGACAATTGCGCTGTTACTTAGCGCCAAATCTAGAATTGGGTTACCCGGCGTTGGATGCGCTACATGTTGTGTTAAATCGAAAGATTCAAAGAGTTGAAGGAATTTAGAGGATGCCGGACTTTTAGCTTCTCTTAGATGACCAGTATCTCCACGTTCAATATCTCATAAGAATCAGATTTTCAATAGAAATGCAGAGCTCCAACAACGAATCAATAAGGCTCTCATCGTCATCTGAATCTGAATTAGGTGGTCGATATATCAAAATACTCGAAAGCTCTGGGAAGAAAACGTGTCGTACCCATCGAATCTCCGAGCTTCGGCAAGAAGGCGTCGCAACAGCAGAAAGGTGAATAATATTCTTAGCTAAACAACAAACACCACCTCCTCTACGATTTTTTCGGTCAAGACGGAAAATATAATAAGGTCGGCCAGAAAGGATTTCAGTATCAGAAACTTAGAAGACAGCCATGTCTCTGTGATAAAAACTAGATCAGGATTGTACATATCGAGAAAGAAGTGGAGATGGTGGAGTTTGTTACCCAGACTTCGTGATTAAAGGAGGAATTCACGATTAGAATGAAGGTCGAAGAAAGGGAAACTGACCTAGTTGAGGGACCCACGGACCTCCTGAGGGTGCGAACTGACGCGCAATTCGCATGGAAAAATTTGACCTCGGCGACCTATCATGCCTCAAAGCTGGCGGGTCCGGCGATCTCCGCCCACCGATCATCTGATCACTCGCCGTAGTTCAATACGTGGCGAGTGATTAGATAGCTGAGAGAGCGTAGTGTTGAAGAGGGCACAGCGATGAGAGTCGCATCAATGCTCAAATCAACGGGCAAGGAAGGGGTCCCATTTCTCGGGTTCTGGGCCGTTTCTCATGGTTCTTCCTTCTTTCACTCACCATCCCTAGGTTAATTTGAAATGGGTTGCTTTTTCATCGTGAATTCGTCCTTTAAAAGGAAACTTCTCGTTCCGGTCGGTGTTCCGTGCCGTACAATGCGTTTCTGCGGTCTGGATAGCTCATCGGCGCGCCTCAACTCACAACGATTGACAACCCAATCACGGCTGTTAAGTAGGTCATTGTGCGTCTTGCCGAGGCTGAAGCTCGCGATTGCGCTTGAATTAAACTTCTGCGCACAAAGAAATTGGGTCAAGCTTGATCCGCGCAAGCGATATAGATAAAGGTGTGATCCAATGGCCTTTGGACGGCCTTCACCAGATGAAGCATACTCCCGGGGCGACCCGTACGGTAGACCTCAACAACCTAACCAAGCTCCGTCCCTCTTCTCTCTATCCACGGCCTTTGTGACTGTTTGAGGAAGTTTTGTGATGATGATGAGATACGATGATGATATGATGATGATGAGATACTTGCCTGTAATCGGGTCTTTAATTTGCTCATTCCTTTCGACATGGCAGACACGAGCTCATTCGTAGACAGGCCTGCAAGTATCGAAATCAGATGGAGAGCTATCCAAAGTACTAGTACTCTGTGTTGCCTTAGTACTCCTGTCTTGCTGCCCACGCGATCTATTCTGTGTCGCAGTGCGTGCCATTTTTATCACTGATCTATAGAAAAAAGAAACAAACAAACAAAAATCAAGGAACCAACTTAGCTTTAAGGAAAGACGAAGACATCTTCAACTCCTCTGCTGGTCACTGTTAAAGTAGAATATATTGACTATAAGAGTACCAAACCTGCAGAAGTTTTAAGCAAGAAACCTGAGTCAAAGCGGGAATATGCAGCAGGCAGTTCAAAATCGACCGCTCAGCAGGAAAGCAGATGAAGATGAAGTAATGTCAGGGCTATATGACAGATGTGGTATTGTGGTCCAGCCAGTTTCCCTCAAAACGTGGCGAGTTATCTTTGCAATGTGATTTCGGGCGTTTATTTGGAGGAAGGAGATTTTGAGAAGTTTCGAACCGTTCTGCTGCACTGCTGCCGCCAACTTCGGAAGCTACCTCATGATTACTTTTGCAATGCCGTCCGCTTGAAGCAAGGCTCTCAAAAGGGAGTACCCAGCGAAACCAACTGACCAGGGAAATATCCTATGAAAGAGCTCGGACTTTAGATGAGATGGTAGGTCCAGCCTGTTAGGTAGCCACCAGGCGCCGCGTGTTGTCATCGTGGTAGACTCATGACTCTAGGGTGCACTGGTGACTCATGCACTGGTGACCAACTAGGGAATGCCCTATCTATATCATTTCTGCAGATTGTCAGGCGTGCTTCTCGGTCATGGTCAGTCATGCATGCTGTTTCCATCGAGACTTCATTCTGCTGCAGCCCCTTCCATTCAGGTGGCGACTCATGGAGCGTAGGCTGCGTCCAGATGTTTGCTACAGTTTGCTATGTTGCTGGTAATACCGGATGCACTTCCTATTCATAGCGCAAGGGGTCCTCATCGAAAGTGATTGGAGGTCTATGATGAGGTCGAACTTTGCAGCTCCTATCGTCTTTGCCGATGCTATTGAGCAATAGCTCAGTGCCCGATCACTAGCAAAGACTGGGGCAAACCAAGGTTCTTCATTAAACGGTCGTAAGGCGTAAGTGTTCGGTTTGATTGAGTCAACCTATTTCAATTTCCGTCGTGCATTCAATCTTCTGGAACATCTTGGCTGAAGATCTCGATGTATACTCAACACATCAACTTATTTCATAATGAAGCTAATTTGACATAAAGATAACTGAATTTGAACAAAATCGGCCAGGAATTGTGGGACAGCATTAATTGGGAGGGCATAGGCGGCCAGTGCTTGCGAACGTACCAGATAAAATTGAATGTCCATTCCAAGTTTATCGTATGGACACGACAGCAGGATTAGTGCTCGTTTTTCGTTGACAGTAGTTCTTCCAGGATAGCAGAAAGCAGGTTTTCCAATTAGAAAGATGCACAGCACTCACTGGCTCCGCTCATAGTTGATCGTGGAACACGACTCCTGGGTGTGGAGTTCCCATTAAAATTTTCTATAGAAGATATCAATCATTTTACATTTATATATATATATACTTATTTATTTATTATATGAAGTGGCGCATGTGGTTAAAACCTGATTGCAAAACAGTGATTTAAACATCCGGCGCAACAAAAAAGACACGACGTTTATTCATTTATAGGCATTTATAGGCGGAGATGGTCACTTCGCTTGCCCATGAAAAAAGCGCTTATTTACAACCTTCTACAGTGATGGCGCCTTTGCGGTATGTTGTCTTCTACTTTGTTGTAGGTGACCAGAAAACTCCAGTACTCCTGGGGCGTGGTTCAACATCTCTGAACATCTGCCAATTCAGCAAGCGTTATCCGCCACGATATAATATGGGTCTTTGTGAGGCCAAATTTGGCAAAGTCACAGTATTCATTGGTTATCTAGAAAACGTCCTCAGAGGAGAGTAAGTTTTATCCCAGCGTGCTTAAAATTTCAATTTAAAGTCCTGTATACCTGCAGTCACATATCTTACCATTCCTATGTAGGCTGAGAAAATCCTATTTTCCTGGGCACCTTGAAGCTTTGCCGAGCATTCGAAGTTTTTCTACCAATACTCCAAGCATTTTATACATTTCGTTCATGTGAGGGAACGTTCACGGTACTTACTAGGATGAGATGGCGCCCAGGCATTGAGCACCTGGGACGTTGCCCGGTGTCGATGACCGAGGCATAGGAGCACGCGATTAGGGAACATAAGGCACATATGAAGGTGAAGGTACTCGAACAAGAAAGTCGCCTAATGCACAGAGAGGAGAGAGCTAAGTTGATACGTACGTAATCTTTTTCGCCCACTTACCCGTTGAAGGGACCGCCAACGAGAAATTTTCGCATTCCTTTCTAACTAGAATACGTCAGTTGTTATCACTAGAGGCAGCGTACAATGTTTCACGCGGGAAAATTCACTTCTGAAAAGCAACAGTCCTACGACGACCACCTTCGGACGGTGGCCGGTAGATCGGGCGGAGCCAAGTGGGCTGTTTCTGGAGTAACATCGTTCACGGGAGCTGTTCTCGTAATGGTCACAAGCAAGAGCAGAAAAATTACTAAAAAAAAGTGATCAGTGTTAACCCCGCAATCAAAGATGTAAAAGCTATGCATCCGACATTCATTCAGAAAGGCTCAGGTATTTGCACATCGGTCTATGAAGCAATTTACGGGTGTCGGGCATCGATCCAGCCAGTGACATTGTTCTCCGAGTCAGGTCGGGGAAACATTCCCCACCAATAACCATGACTATTTACATTTATGTTCTATTATCGCTATTTGTATTTGACAATTAAATTTTTTTTTACAATTAAGCTGTTTCGAGCATAAATTAAACACCCTAATTTCCGGTAGATAAGCCCGCGACAATATCACGTAAAAACACCTCCGCTGGTGCAGTGCACTTGCGTACATCTAGAGTCAACCGTAACATGCCCATAGGGGTAATTTGATATGCTGATTACGAAAACGACATTCGTTGACACTATAAACGGTCCTTGTCACAAGCATTGCTTTCACGGAATTGGTGTAAACTTCTGTATAGGGTTATTTGGGCCCTGATTACGAATATGACATTCGTTTTTGGCGTTAACGTTGTTAGTGCATATTTCTCGGTTGGAGAGCGCAGACGAGCAGAAAATAGGCGCCAAATAGCGCCAGCGCCGAGAATGAATGTCATATTCGTAATCAGGACACCAAATAACCCTATATAGTTGTCGTTATAGTTGTCGTGACAAGGTAGCGCCAACTGGCGCCAGATGGCGCCACCGCTGAAAATGAAAGTCATTTTCGTGATCAGGGCATCGACTTACCTCTATAGGCAAATTTGCGGTGGTTTCTAAGGTGTACAAAATTACACTGCACGAGCGGAGGTGTTTTACGTGAAATCGGCGCAGGCTTATCTACCGGAAATTAGGGTAATTATTTTGGCACTATTGAGCTATTACAACCCCAGAGGGGGTGAGATGGATCAAAAAATTTTTTCGCTGAAACTTGCGCTAGGGGGGTTATCGAGGCTCCTGATCACGAATATGACCTTAGTTTTGGCTCAATTTCTCTAGGTGACGCTCGAAATAGATGTCATCTAGGCGCTCATCCAGTAAGGGGGGGGCATCAAGTGGCTGCCCTCACCCCCACCCCCTAGACTGCCTACACTCCCCCTGGCACACAGGTTTCTCGAAGTACGGGAACCCCGTGAGCCAGGGGGAGTGAAGGCAGTTCAGGGGGGTGGGGGGTGAGGGCAGCCACTTGATGCCCCCCTTACTGGATGAGCGCCTAGATGACATCTATTTCGAGCGTCACCTAGAGAAATTGAGCCAAAACTAAGGTCATATTCGTGATCAGGAGCCTCGATAACCCCTATCACAAGTTTACAGCGAATTTGGTGAAAACACCCTTGGCGCCAATTGGCGCCAGCGCCAAAAACTAAGGTCATATTCGTGATCAGGAGCCTCGATAACCCCCATAGCGCAAGTTTCAGCGAAAAATTTTTTGATCCATCTCACCCCCTCTGGGGTTGTAATAGCTCAATAGTGCCTTATTTTATGTGTAATAATTGCAGCTAGCAGCTAGCAAGTTCGAATGTGATGTATAAAAGTTATATTCAGGAAGTTTCGTGTGGCACAAGATACGATCAAATGCTACTTGAAAGGTGTTAATTACAAGTTGATGACGGTCAATTTGGAAAATGATGAGCGAACAAGGAAGCTGTGCTACAAATATAACGACGTAATGATAAAATCTTTTAACGTTTGATATTAGGTCGGTCAAAAAGTATCCGCCGTTTTGACCCCCTAATTTTGAAGCACCACAACTTTGCTGAAACACAATCTTTTTGTTCGAAATAAAAACTGCTATGTCCAGCAGATTGTTCTCAATCAGACCCATGCTAAGAACTTCCCTTCCTATAGATCTTTAATTTATTATAGGCTAAAAGCTGTAGGAAGGCGCATTTGACATGCCTCAGTTCTCAACGCGATTTCTCCTCCAAGAACTATGTTGAAAAGCGGGGAATTGGTGGTTCGTGAAAGATGTACCTGGGCTATATAAAGGATAGCAAAAGAACTTCTGAGCCATTTCTGAATGGATTCTACAGAGCGTATTTTGCGGTGGGCGATTTAGCGCTATCGTGGTGAAGGACTGGACCTCATTTTTTCCTTGAAGCAGACTATCATCCCCGTAGTTTCTTATGTTTTATGTTCTACTCTTTACGACAGGACTCGGCCGTCGTCGAATGAGTCAATTCTCGGACTTTGAAATGAGCTAGGCCATCGAAAATTGAGGAAAATCCTTATTGGAGGCGCTCCAGGTTTTGCAGCGTTCCAAGGCAGCTTGGTTTCGTCCACATATTTGGTAACCCTTTCACTGTTAGCGTGCAGAAGCATAGTCTTACCCCACACTATTACCCATCTTGAAAACTGTTCCTTACTGTTGCAAGGAAGAGTCCAAGCACACACCTCCACGCGCGTCGCAACTGCTAAAGCTGCCAGCACGGGTTACTCCGTGAATAGATTGACGATATTTTTCCGTTATTTCATTGAGGGCACTCCTTATACTACGCGCATCACTTTCGAGCTTTATTTCTCCAGGCCCAAGCCTGCCGAGCTAATCTTGCGCTATGCGTTTCCTAGCAGCACTCCTTCTCAATGCAGTCGCCATATTACGAGCTGGCCCTGGCGTGTCTATTCCAAGTTTGAAGACATGAAGTGGCAACAATCGAAAATCACGATTTTGCTTATCCTAAAAGGAGGGTAAAACGACAAATGTTCTCGGAATCACCTCGAACCTTCGTATGAATATGAAAGGGCTGATCTTCCTCTATAAGATGACACCCAAGTTGTTTGAATAGTTGCGAAAGAAACTATCAAAAAATGCAGGGGACTAATCGAGGTGCAAAACGGCGGATATTTTTTGACCGACCTTACCCTGAAGATTTACATTCAAGTGTGAGAATTACTTCCCTCGAGTGAAGAATAAGGAACGTGGAAGCAGGGAGATAACGACCGAGATCTAGCCGAAATAATCGACCTTACTACATACATTGTTCGCAAAAAATTACGAGGTCCATGGATCTGTGACGGTTGTAATCTGGCCTCAGCTGCTACTGACCATGTGACCAAATGCTTGTGCCAACCTGGTGAAGGCTTTCATCCAAGTTTCTTCAACATAGAGTGAGCGAGTCTCTGGAACCCCTCCGAAGATTTCCCGTCAGAACAGTTGAAATGAGCTCGAACTCACTCGGAAGTCGAGGACACATAGTGCCTGTAGAGAATTGACAGCGCGGCCATTCAAGAACTAACTACGACGGCGGTGGAGAAACTAGAAGCGCTAGGGGTTTGGACGCTTTTGGAGATGGCCACTTTGAATGTGGCCATCTCCAAAAAGTCTTTTGGAAGACTTTTTAGATATGGCCACATCTAAACTACCATTCTGCGTGGGTAAAAGCAGGGTATTGGAAGAGCATGTTGAAGCGTCCCTAGTCTTCTTCAATATTGGATTGCACATGGGATCAATGCTGCGGGAAGTCCAAAATTTCGCAACCTACGTAGGCCAACCACTTTTCTCTATCTCTCTATCACTTTTCTTCCCAACAACAGAAAGGCTCCTTACTGCAGTGGTAGCGATGCCGTTTATGAGACATTGCACCTAGTTCAAACCTATGTGTGACGCAAGTTTGCAGCAACGTGGGGGTACTCACCACTTCCACCATGGCAAATTGCCAATGGCTCAATGGGAACGTTCCGCGCTGGCAAGGTTAGCTAGATCAACACTGCGTGAAGGTCAAATTTGCTAACAACATCCGTTGCTAGTTTAGCGTACTTTACTGATGTTGGGAAGAGGGGAAGAGATTACGTAAGTCGCGTTGGTCGTAAAATTAGCTCCCGTTTGGAATGGCTGTGCATTTTATCCCTCACACCCGGCTAGTACCCACAACGCTTTTTTTAATGACAGCAAACGACAAATGGATGTTTTAAAGCTTCTCTAGATTGTAGAGCTCGACTGGATCAAGATTCTATCGTTATCGTCTTCATCAGAGCCTAAAGTGATGAAGTAGCTAAGAGTGACCCGCTCAAGTGAGAATTTACTGCACGCTCGAGTCAACTACGGAAGTGCTCGATCCATTGCTCCGGCAGCTTGGATTAAGAAGAGCCAGTGTTGACTCCGACAACCGTACTGTTGAGCGGTTACTGGAATACAGAGGGCTGGAGAGTATAGTCCGCAAGTTTCATACGTGACTTGGTAAACCTATCCTATCAGTTACTCCTTTAATTGTGTGGCACATATATCTCTTAAATGGAACGAGTCAGTCAGTGTGCCTCTGCAATAATATTGTGGCCACCAACATTCCGGAAGGAATGCAACTGTTTCACACCCATCGCACACCTCATGGAACAGGACCGTGGGACTTGCAAGAAAGCTTCATGTCAACGGCAACAGCACGAAGAATTGCGGCTCAATACAGAGAATGAGGAAATTATATTCCACTCCCGGAAATGGGCTGTCCAGGGGCTGTCAGTGCTCCATTCATTTGGAAGATGGTCGAGTCAGAAATTGGTGGCACCAACGAGGCCAGCTTGAAAAACATCGCTTCGGACTTGAATCCATCGTGAAGATGTTCGAAATGCTGTCGACCAAAAATTTACTTTTCACTGTTATCGCTTCTCTTGCAGATAGTCGCTGATAGTCGAGGCTGCGAAGAACTGCAGGCAAAAGATGCAAAGGACTACTCTCAGCAGTTCAGACGGGCCGCCTTTCGGAAATCATGTAAAAATATTTTTACAGTTGTAGTCATCTGCAACGACCAGGATCATCGAAAATTGTTTTCTTAGATAGGGAACATATCAGAAAACGGGTGTGTGAAGAGAGAGCCTGTTCCCAAGTCCGTGATGGTCTGTTCGGGACAGTATCCCAATTTGAAACTCCTCTTGTCACGCCGGCGCCAACGCCTTGCCTCCCGTATACGCTCGTGAGCACGGGGGTTCCCAACGAACGAGGCGAAGTTGTTGCAAGCGCGAGGGTCCCATCGGGGTCTTACGCGGCGCTCGCCCTCGCCACTACGCACGCAGGGAATAACTATGGCCCTTGCGGGAAATTCTGTACTTTCTTCTTATGAAAAAAGTGAATCACAAAATGAAGTGAGTTATGGTCGCTGAAAGCCCAAAAACTCGCTTTTGCACGAAAAATGTTCGAACGGGACAATTTTTGAAAAAGGGGACAATCACTAAACTTTTTATACTGTTTTGTTAGAGAAATATTTGAAGTTTCTGAAACTTTTTACAGATTTCCAAAATGTCGCATACGAAAGATTTTATGGGCCTTCAAAGTTGAAGGTGCGCCTTCTTAGAATTTTGGGTTTTCCACTTCTAACAGAAGTACTTTCCGGAGAGTTAGGCAATCCTTGTAGTTTTCTGAAAGCGCACCTCAGGCACAGTCAAAATCTACCTCAACAAGTCAAAAAAGTACGTCCCAAGAAAGTTATTCCCCTCTAAAATTTTTTCTTCGCCGCGTCCCGTTCTTCCAGCGCCCGGGTGATACCTGCCGCGCTCCAAGGCTGACGCCGCAACGCAGACGCTTCTGCGCGGCGGCGCAGACGCTTTCTGGCGCAACGGATTCATGTCTAGCACTCTTATTAACAAAAACAGGGGGTCGCAACTGGACCCCCTCGAGAGCTAGGGGGTCGCAAAAATCCCGAAAATGTTCGAACGTGACGGTTGACCCTGGTTGGCGGTGCGATGTACGTCCCAGACACCTTTCAGAGATGTGTCCACCCCTTTATAATGAGGAATGCTGGACCATGTCTTGGAGTTTTTGGTGAATTTTGACGTAATGTTAAGATTGATTCTCCACTGTAACAGTTCCACCTGATACTGAAGAACATGGCCAGCCGCTGACCCCATAACCCTCCTTCAGCACAGTTTAAGTTCTGCAAAGTTTGTAGAGCTTCATCGCCGTCGATCTATTCAGCAAAGCTTCGTGGACTGTAGAGAAGAATCCGCTCTTCATTGTACGTTGCAAATCTGTAGAAAAACGAGTCGCTTTTATCACATAAAACAGGCTACAATTTGATGGACCACCATCCAAGGAAAATGAAGCATCCAAAAGAGGAGTGCCAGAAAACGACAGAACTTTTTGAAACGCCTAATAGAAATACGATAATACTATGCAAGAACCATTTAACTACAAAAACTATAAAACGACCTACGCATCACGGAGTCGGATCCAGGGACGTCATGGCTCACGGGGGGGGGGGAGACGTGGCTTGGATCCGCTCGAACTTCCATACCCGGGTCGATCGTTGCATACGCACGGCTCGTTGCATCATCTTCCTTGAACCCTAGCGGGACGAACGGAGTCCGCTACGAACGGGAGAGCGGAACAGCGACGACCAAACTCAACGGCGGCAGACGTAGACTGACTGACAGACACGTAGTCCAGAGCATTTGACTTCAGCCGACGCGCAGGGCACCGATACGCAGTGCGCGCCGGGACCCCCGCGCGCCCTACCAGGCGTGGCCCTTTAAGAAGTCGTGCAAAAGCCACGATACCTCTTGCTTTTGTTGATAAACATCAAACCCAACTCTGAAACGTACTAGAATATTAAGTCGAGAAACGCCTTGATGCCATAGGCTCGAAAACACTGCCAGACAGAGCTTTGCTCTGTAGCAGGGCTGAGCACGAACCAATGGATGGAATCAAAGATCTCCATCTATCAACGTCACTTTCATGGATTCTGGGACAAGAGTATGTGGCCATCGAATCTTCCAATCGACTATTTTGTGTGTGGCTATCTACAGTGTAATTCTCTTCATCAGAATATCGCGGCTTGGACGGGCTAAGGCAGCGCTCCAAAGGTTGGGAGAAGATTGATATCAACCATCTGCTCCTTCAACTACAATGCACGCTTCTGCCTCTTGGTGAACGCACCCACGCAACCACTGAGGATAAAGCGTCCTTCTGACCGGGTCAGAGTGAGAGGTCGTATTCGTCCCAAAGGAGTAAGAATTCGTAAATAGTGCCATCGGCTAAAATCGTAGCCTTAGACCATGTGAAAAAGCTCAAATGCAAAATGAACTCGGCTCCTGCGGCCAAATTTGAGGCGCTCGACATCGACAACTTCGGCTGTATGTGTTACGTCACCACTCGTCAGGGGTATGGTGGATGGTAACGTATCACACACAGCGGAAGTTGTCGATGCCTAACGGAGGATGCGATAGTCAACTATTCTAATCCTTGTCCCTTCATGATTAAAGTCTAATTTCATTTCCATGGCATAGATTCAACTGCTCACCATTCTACTTGTTCCCTTAGCCAGTGCTCTTATTTCTCTGAATCGATCTGATTCGAGGTAAATGACTCCTTTGGGTCCAAAAGTCCGCATGCTCAAAATCTCATCAAAGGGAGGAGCCCTTAACCTGTAAAAATTTTAAAACAAACTAATTGAAAGAAAAACATTCAGGATGCTTAAAGGCAAGAATCAGGATTAATTGATGGGTGATTCCACTCAAATGTGAAAGTAGGGATGGAGGTGGACCGCCAGTGGAGAAAAAAGGAAAGAAAATCCTGAAATACACAGGAAATACGAGCATTTTGCTCTATGCTGTGGAGAAGTTCAAAAGACAGGCAGGGAGATGAGAGATAATGTGAGCGCGGAGAGCGGTAGAGAAGTCCGAGAAGAGAGAGCATAGCAGATCAACGTGGCGACGCAGACAAGATATCGAACGGTGGGCGGACCATGTTAAGTTTGGTGGAGTCTGTTAGAAGTCCATGGCGCCTAGGGTCCTAGTGACGCGTTTCGATGTAGAAAGGTGGCGCTACCTTTGCACTTGCGTACCCAGCACTTCTAGCCATGGTAAGGGCTTCTTAGGTGGGTCTGAGCCCGAACTTTGCCTTTTAAAAAGTTATTTCGAATTCCTTGATCTTCTTTATAACCGCCGCAGATGTACATTCAAAGAATATTATGGAGTTCGTTAGGAGGAAGTGCGCATTCCAATAAGCTTCTGCTTGCATCTTCACGAACATGACTATAGTATGTCTACATGCCTATATTTAGGACCCTTTTGGGAAAAATGCTCGTGAACTTTTTGGAATTGGTCGGAATCTACTTCAATCATGGATCCACATCTGTCCTAGGCGTGCTTTAAAGACCAAGAATTTCTAGAGGTTCGACTCGAGCCAAGCTGGGTGAAAATGTGGGACATCCCTGACATTCAAACCACATTCACCATGCCAAATTGAAAAGAGCTAAAACTTGGACACCAGTCTGAGTGTACGCAGAATCCCATAGGCTGTAATGTAGGAGTGACACGTTTTAAATATCTCCATTATTGTGAAGTTGAGTTTATATGTGCACAATGCCAAAACGAGCCAGCCATATAATTGGTTTACAAATGAAGCAAAATCCAGGTCTAGTTAATGAGCTAAACGTCTGTTTTCAGTACCTCTTCAGGAGGCACTGTGTAGCAGCTGAGTATTTAAAAGACACCGACTGGATGCTCGTTTTGGATGCTGATACAGGTAAGCTGTGAGCTGGGTCATGGAGTACAAGCTGATAAAGTTGTAATTGGCCATTTGACATCAACACTGGATGAAGTGCATAGTGGGCATGGTCTAGGTATTCTAGTAGCGCTTTCCAGAAAATACTTTTCAGCCGTGAGGTTCTTCTGGTGGATTAAGTAAGTATGCTTTTGAGTAACATATTGTGGAACATAGTAAGCAAGGAGCTTTAATTATTACTTGGAAGTTTTTTTGTTTGTTTTCTAAGAAGCTTGAAGGCTTCAAATAAGACGTATCCCTCAACTCTTCCATGCGACCAGAAGTTCTGTAAGTGATGTCTAGAGGATGGGATGACCGTAGTGCGCTTCATTTGGGCAAGATATCTCAGTCGTCCAAGATCAGACCTTCATCTCACTGCAGTCAAAATTGCTCTCGACTTAAGGAAAAACAGTGAAATGAGCTTCACTCGGAAGGTACCTCGCCAAAAAGTCATCTTGCTGAGCTTAGTTAAAAAAGCAGAGAACTACAGGGTGGATCAATCAACAATAACAAGATAAATTGATCATAAAAAACCAATGTTACCGAAAAGACTCAACTTAACAGGATCAACATACTGAAGGAAAGCTTCCAAACAGAAAGCAGTATACTCCTTGAACCGGCCGCTTTGTGCATTGATACATAAACCATCTCTTTAAGACTTGTGGTCCCGTTATTGAGAAGCTAGTTGTTCTCAAGTAAATCCAAGACTTTTCAAAGCGACTTCTTAACTAATGGTTCTGATTATGCTTTAAAGCCACGAGTCAGGATTAGGCAACCAGCAGAAGTTCTTCCCAGGGTGCGATAGTGGGCTCCCCAAGCACTGAGGGCGCGACACTATCGCGACCCAAAAGTGCGCGGCAATGGCGCTAAGGCCTTGCCCGCCGCGCTGCCCGCGCTGCCAGCGTAATCCACCACGGCATACGTGGTCTCTGCGTCCTCTCGTACGACGTACTATCTCGCGTTCTCCCTCTCCTCGCAGCGCTGTGTCTCTCCGTCGTACTACGGCCGGCCTCCTAAGGGAAATTTAGTGTTTTCTATGGTGCTTTTTGCTTTTTCTCCTCACTAATGTTCCTCATTGCACCCCTTGCCTAATGTTTGAACAAAATAACGCATCAATTCAATCCCGACTCGTGCCTTCAAGGAGTGGTTTGTCTCCAGCATTCACAGCACGTCATAGTACGTATTTGAGTGCTGAGAAGTACGTTGCCGCATCTTTCATATGATGAATTCTGCGGCCTTCTATTGGCAGTAGTTTTTGTACAATCTTCGTCTCGTGGTTGGACGCTCGTCTTGCTCTGATGCTCTGTGCTATCTACTGAAGGCCCTGTTAAGCTGAAGCATCAACTGCGTCTGAAAAATTTCGAGATGATTCTAATGTCCAGCTTGATATCTAAGCTCCGAAGGTCCGAAGTATCTTGGACTCGTGTATACTGGTTCGCAAATACCCTACCCTCATTGGAATTAAATAGCATTGGTCTGATTGTCCTTCTCATTTGAGACTGGTCTGATACCAGGATATTTCTCTTCAGTAGAAACGTACGAAAATGGAGCTCATCATGGGATCGAGACAACGCCTCATATAATCAACTACAACTCTATATTATCACATCTTGTAGCTGCTATCGGTGTTTATCACCCACCATAACGTCAAATCCCACATTTTTTATAGAAGTGCGTCCCCTTTTCTGTCGACGAAAACAGCATGACGGAGGTCTTTTCCCAACTGCGCTTCGATATTGTCACCTCGATAAGACATTACAATTGCCCCCCCCCCCAGCAGGATTTTCGCCGGATTATACCTTGCATGGGAGTGCCCAAGGTTTTGTGCGATAATCTAATAGCAGTCAGAAAAAGACTCCGTCTCATAGAAATAATTGCAAGTGGAAGGTAGTTAACCTGATGCGGCATAGGACCATCGCAACACGTTTCCTGAACGGATGAAACTTTTGTTTCTTATTCGATTTCTCTCAGGGCTTACATGAAACAAAACAACAACATCTTCAGCTGTGATCAATCCGAATCATTGCATTGAAGAGTGGATAGATGATCGTGTGGATGTTATTTTATACGAAAGATTTTTCAATTACGAAATCTCTGCTGCAACATACATGGTGCGCATTTTTTTCATAACTTTCTTACCACCTTCTTGTTAGTGCCTTCTCAGGTTCGCAACACAAAGTTTGCCAGAGAATTTCTCATGAATTGGGCAGACGTCAATTTTGTAAACGAGAACAATTAGTGCTGACATAATTGGGAGTCTTTGTCCATGTATTATGTTCACATTACTATTGTCCTTCTTAAGCATAATACATTGCTATGATGCCCAGCGAACACGTAAAAACAGGGCTCCATCGCGCGCGAAGGGACAAAAGCGGCACAGGACAGTTTGCAGGCGCATAGTCGTGATACGTTAAACGGGGTCAGGTTAAAAGTGTACCACACATACGTCTCATATACTCACAGCAGCGCGCTGCGCTGGCCTCGTCCATTACCAAAAGCGCGATGGCCTCTTGAGATCACCCACAAGTGCTCCCTTGATTAAACCTTGAAGACGAACTGAGAACGCCACGGATATAAAGTGCAGCAGCCTGTGCTGTAACTTAGTTTGGGAGGGGGGGCAACGCGGCCGAGCGCGGAAAACATGTTCGAAATCCGTAGGCCAAACGTAGGTCAGTCTAAGGTGGGGGGCGGCAGTCACTGAAAATGTTCCAGTTTAACCGTCTGCGTTCGAGAGACACTAATGAAGCATGCATCAGCGCTTTTCCCGGAAAGATTCTCTCACATGAGCCGTGTCAGACTTTTGCGAGCATCCTCGATCGCACGTCTCCTGGCACTGTCTCCACCCGTAAGAATGTCCTTCATGTTAAAAGCACACCCAAATGGTCATCGTTGATGTTCTACTCATCGACATAAAGTGGGTATGCGAAGAGACCGCAAGAAATGAAAAGGACATGAATCCCGCCAAACTTCAGACCGAGCGCTCCCTTGGTACACTTGTAAGCGATTAACGGTAAGGCATGCAGCGAAATAGGAGATAGTGAACGCCGAAAAAAGAGAAAAAATACTGCAAGAGGAGGGAGCATAGCAGTTCAGCGATACGAGGCAAATGAGATACTGCTGCGGTGCACGGATTCGTGCAAGGATCCGAGTCCTAATCCCTAACATGAGAGCTCGAAACACATTTAGGTTCAAAGTGGCGAAATCTACGCAGTTGCGAACCCGGACTCTTTGTACGTTTAATATGGGTAGGTGTTGGCCAGTAATGTTGGGAGAATTTTCAGCCATGTTGCCACAAGTGCAGAAAGGAGTCGAACCCCATGTCCTACCTGAGCCAGAACCAAGTTGCGCTATTTCGTTTCAATACTACGCTCAGATAGTAGAACGAGCGAAAAAAAAACAAGAACAATTCGAAGTCTGCGGCCAAGACCCTTCCCATAGCATTTCATATGGCCTCTCCGACCTCTGACATCTTTCTGGGGAAAGTATGGATATCAATATTAGTGGTATGAAAAAGTTACACTGACAGAGATACGTGGTCAGAGTTACAAGGGCGATTATCCCTTCCCTTGCTGTAAGAAGCTCAACGTATCAATGGAACAGTGATTTATCATCAAGAAAAGCTTCTGTCCTTTTGACCCGATGAGACCCGATGAAATTCATATTACATTCTGTTCTCCTTTGCCAACCTTGTGTGAATTCAACCACTACATTCGCTGAAAAAATTGGAGTCCTAGAGGCTATGAACTCGGCGAAGGTCCTTTCATCATGTTAGATTTCGTAGCATTTCTCCTTGAAAAAATCAGTCTGCCAAAATCTAATCAGAAATAATGCATCGAAAGCTAGGACTGTGAGGAACAGCAAGAACTGTCCTTACGATCTAAGGGATCGAGCTCGATTGCAGTGATTTAGTAGAAGAATCTGTAATTGTTTTTCTTGACGACCAGTGCGTACGCGGACCAAAAAGGAATATCTCGTTTCAGTTCAACGTCCTAGATACTGTTTCTTCCCGGAGCAATACAAGCGAGGCAGAACTGTTATGATGTATGGTATAATGCAACCAATTACGAGAGCTATATGGCGTCCGTGTCATGCGTCAAACAGGCGCTAGGAGCCACACGGTTATGGCCAGGAAAACTACGTATCTATAGAAAAGCACATGGATGGGCACGAGATGGTTTTCTCACCTCTGGCAAGTAATGAGAATTGATTATTGAAGATGAAAAATACAAAAGAAAGATCATCCCCTAAGCGTAACGTATCCGTTCTTTTCAGTTTATAGAGTGTTTAACCGGAGAAAACAGCCTTGACCAAAACACTTCCAAAAATTATTGCAATAAATGAAAAGTCAATCAAAAAGTTCCCTACTCTATTTCAAATAGAGGTTATGAGAGCAATACAGCCTAGAGTCAGAAACATGCACTCTCATGGACTATCGCTCGACGCCACAATTTCAAGGAAGGAAAGGATCCTAAGTCACTATGGTCGTCCAGGAAAAGATGCACATGGACATGCCTAGATGTGCTTTTGGACACTGTTCTCAATTCCACCTTTTGGAGTTGCTACACGATTTCTTGGACGGAGATCAAGAAAAGGAGTGCGATTGGGTGTTCCATGCTCCCATTGAAGAGATTGATCCCATATGGTGATTGCACTCTGGCCTTGTTTTGCTTGTTTTGCTAAATGAACTTTTAAGTATTAGGTTGTCCCATAATTAGTGAATCACTTTGGGTATTTTTGAATTCAAATTTTTTTCTTTTTATTCGAAGTCCTTGCTCATCCAAACATACACCTCTGTCATCTACAATGTATTGCCTATCATGGGAATTTAGTCGCTGTCTTTCCTCTGAAATTGCAGGAGCTCTTGAACGAAGAAAGGACGGAAGTCGGGTTTGAGGTCATGTCACTTAGCGTAAAATTTCTTTCCTGGAAGAAGAGTGCTAGAGCTCAGACAAGGTTGTCTTAGCTGGTACGAGGATAGTGCTACACAACGAAGCTGAAAGAACTGTTAGCCTGAGAGTCTCCAACTTTTTATGAATAATCTACCCAAGGTGGGTCGAACGACCTCAGAAAAAAGCAGACTTTGTCTTGCTTTACTTTCAAATTGAACGCGTCGCCATTGTGCTGTCCACGTTTGCCTTCTTCACTGACCCTAGTATTACTGGGCGGCGGTTCCCAGCGCAAGGTCCTTTCGTGCTTCACCAACATCTCAGAAGTGTCGAACTTAGAGGAAGTTGGGCTTTTGCTGTCAGAACTCCCGAATCGCTTGAGCTAGGCTACTGCTCCTGGTGGATTTGCTAGCACACTCCACCCAGTCTACAGAACTGGTGAATATGCAGGACGATCACTGAAAGGAACTCTAGGAAATCAAAAGGAACATGATGATGTCAGATCGTGTTCGAGCTGATTCGGGCACAGAGCATGTGAGATACAAATTCCATATTTTAAAATCTTTACGACTCTACGTAGATGTCTACATTCCATCATCTAACAAGTCGGATATGCTCTGACAAATAGCGACTACTTTGTCCAGATCCAATCTCAGTGGCGCTGGGTAGAGCAGCAAGATTGCCAGTAGAGGGGTAGTTGGAGTGTGGGTCATCTTCAAATGGAAAAGCCAAATCCGGAACAGAGTGAACCGTGGATTGAAGGAGTGTGTCCTCGCCTATTTGCTGGTTGATCCACTACGTTGGTTGGCGTTTGAAAGATGCTAATCAGAAGTGATGAGTGAGGAAGCTCAAAAATAGGTTTAGAAAAATTGATGTTATAGCCTTGTAAGGCAGCGTGTAAATGGGCTGACCAAATGCTCAGGATAATGTGGGTGCTACTTCGCAAAACATCTTCGACGCCTTTACCATTTTTCTTGATTTTTTATAGCAATGAATGTAAAGTGATTCACTAAGTTATGGGACAACCTAATAGTTAGAATTAGGGAGAAATGGGGCGGAGTTGGGTTGTGTCCACCGGTCTCAGAATCAAATACTGTAGAAACAGCCATGATGGTGAAGGTGGTGGGGGAGAAGGATCGTATAGAGGGACAGACTGAAGATGATGGTGGTAGTGGGAGGGGGGGGAGGAAAGGCGCAAAATTCTTGAAAAAGTGCGAACATGACGAATGACCCTGGTCCCGATTCTATCGCTGCGCTCTTTCCTTCGTAACTCTGCTTGAAGGAGAGTTTAGCAGATTTGGAAGGTACAACTGAATCAGAGTCCAAAATGCGTCTAGGCTCATACATCTTCTGAACGCTCAAGGCGGCATAGGATCTTTCATTTGTCAACGAAGTGTCGACTCTCCTGGGCAATGAGAGGGATGGAAGTTGGGTCTCAAGTGAGGTCAAAGGTCCAAAAAGGGTACTTACCTGAAAAAGGGTAACTGGTGGGAAGACAGGCGGACTTCCTAAAGGTTGGTTCTGTGCCATTCCTCACGGTTTTTTCTTCATTCATCTCGGCACAAAAAACCACCTCACCTGTTTCCAATGGTCCGATGGAACTGCATTTCTGCTGTGCTTCCCGCCTTCAGAATAGAGATCGGCCTTCTCCTCCATCTGGATCTTCGTATTGATTTTTTTCCTTTGAGGTGGTTTTGAAGGCAAACCCCAAGATTAGTAGGAAGAATACCGTTAGGGAAAGGGTGGAGTCTATATCTACAGAGATCATGCCAGCTTCGTCGCAAAAATTGCGCGATTAGGGCGCTAATCCTTACGGGCCTGCAACCATCGACCCCCGTTGCAACGCTTCCCACCCACCGCGATTGATGTAGAGATCAGCGTGCTCTCTCGGACGTGCTCTCTCGCGTGTTTTGTCTTCTTTGATCGCCCTGTCTCGCCATCGTACCACATCCGACCTTACTGAAGGTTAAGGCCTTAATTTCAGCGTTTCCGATGATTTCTCTTGCTTTCCTTTCCACTTTCAGTCATTCCGCAGCTCAGTCATCACTACGAAGCGCTCTTATACACCAGTTTTATCCCGGGGCTTTGACCTTTCTTTACATTGGTGTGCTTCTTCGGCCACTCAGCCTTTCTGCCCAGGAAGAACAATTCAAGACGGAGGCAGGGTCAACCGTCCGTTGGACAAAGTCCAACGCGACGACGAGAGTAATGCCGAGAGTGAACGTACGCACGGAGACACAGACGGCTCGCGGGTGGCGAGAGTGAATGCCGGCGCGGAGAGCGGTGAACATCGGTCCAACGTCGCTCCAATATCGGTCCAACGTAACGGTTGACCCTGGGCGGAGGGCGAGGTGGGGCGCTCGACTCTTCACTTCACCCTCCCTGCTTGTGAAAGGAACGAACGAAGGAGTTCAATCGTTGGAGTCAAGTGGTATACGGTGGCGGTGCATTCCTCTGGTCGCCAGGCAGGTTGATTATTAAAATTCTACCGAAAAATTTTGGGGCGGGGCACTTTCTGGCCTAGTAGTTTTATGTTATAACCAAAGTCATTACTAAATGGAGAGGATGCTTTATTCATACTGAATGCACGTTGTGAAAGATGGATCTGGGGCTTGTGTATGATACAGTGAGAGGGCATGTGAAACACGCTATGAACACTGGTGCGACCCTCATTGCAAGTGGTTGACGGCGAAGGGCGTCCTCTTAGTCGCTACCCGCAAATTCACAGCGCATACTTGCTATGAATCAGAAAGCCACTAAAACCTTTTCAAGATGGCATGATGGCGACTTCATGTTCCATGGATGGAAAGGCAATCACGTGAAGGACGATCAGTGGGGAGCACCGTTCACCGAAATGCCAAATCTCAGCTTGTGTGGACATGGCAAGGATGGCTGGCATTGGGATGAGAAAATGCACGTGAACGTCTCGGTTATAAAGTAGGCTCGATTTTTCTTATCCATTGAGTAAGGACCAGGTATACAGAAGAATAGCCTAACTGATGATTAACAGGATGACCTACGTTTGCAAAATATGTTTGAAAATGCATGTAGATTTTTCAGGAGTGAATTGGCAAGTTTCGAAAAACATGCGGGCAATACCTTCACCCCGTTAGGACAGAAAGTGATCTGGTTCGCAATGCCGGACATAGGCCAGTGTTATCCCGACTGTGAACGATACACTTAGGACGGCTATCTGGTTTCCTTAGCGCAATTTAATTATATTATCGAACATTCCTTCTTCTCATGCTTCCTGTTTTTGTCTGTAAGAATAAATGGTAATAAATTGAAGGGCCCAACATGACACATCAAGTTATAGTGAAGCGAGACAACACCTCAGATACCATAATATATTGGGTTGTTTTGAAGGTAATGCGGTTTTTAGCCTATTTTCAAATAGTATATTTCCACTCAAATTTGATAGGTTTATTCTTCACAAAAACTATCAGAAACTTTATTTTCCCAACAAGGTGCACTATAATATGTTACGCCCACATAAAACGAGCGCTTTTGGAGGGCCATTATATCTTCGAGCGTCATTTTCACATATGTTTGAACTTTGACTTCTTTCCAACCACCTCGACAACTTCTTACTTAAGAAGTTGTCGAGGTGGTTGGAAAGGGAGGTATTGGTGAAGGAGAAGCCTACAGAGTACGACAGAGCAAAAATCTAAGTGCCTGTTTTTTCAATCCTTATGGGACGTGTAGCTCATAAACGTCATCGCGAAGGAGGGTTTTTACTTCTCCCAGTTGATTAACTAATGCATCACCGCTCTTGGGAAAAGGTGAATCATAGCCCAACACAAATGCTGTTTTGAGACTGTTTTGATTCAATGGTAGTTTACAAGGTGTTTAATAAATCATTTATTAATTACAAAGCAACTATGACCAAACACACAATGGAGAAGAGACAGGAGAGGATAGAAATTGTTATCGTTGTACATTACTACATCTCGTATTGTTGTCCTTAGGTTATGTGTCCGAGTGTAAATCGTCTTGTCGTCTTAACGAGTGGCGAGTCCGACCGGCATAGAATCGTCGTGTCGTAGTTGTAAAGGTTAGGGTAGATGGTGTGCGACCGTAATCGCTTGACGAGAGGGGCGGAGCCCCAGAAGGAAGAGAGAAGAGTTGAAAGAGGCTAAACTAAAGGTGACACCGAAGTGGAAGACTGCCTCTGCCGCCCGGAGCGCGCTCTTTATACCTCCCAGAAAAGGGCGGTATATATACCTGTGCTAGTAGGCGGTCCGGTGGGCATGGCAATTTGGAATTGGTTGTAGTTTGTACGCGGTAAATTCAAAATGTATATGCCATGTTTCGGCACTTGTTTGTTGTAACAGGGCTTAGCCTTAGGGTATTTAGGGGACCAGTCTTTATCATGACTGGGAAGTCATGACACTCCGCACGACGACGAAAGGTATGGAAACGCAGGAATTTGCCGTTTGCATCCTCCCCGCCACCGAGTGTAGACAATTGTATTGTGTTTGTTTCCGTAGACAAGAATATGAAGAGGAAAGTGAGGCACATACAAAACAAAGAAAAATCAGTAATAGACATAGCAAAAAAACAAAAACAATACTAAGAAAATACACTATACAAGTCTAAGGTAAGAAAAAAGAAAAAACTATACAATTCTACGAAATGATCTCACAACATGCTGACTCTTCGGAAACTGGAAGAAGGTAGTAGACGTGAAGACGTGGAGAGTTGCGTGTGGTTGTCCTTGAAGTAGTGGCGGGAGTAGTTGGTGGTTGACGTGGTCCGTTGCTGACGATGGAGGTCTTAGAAAAGGTAGTAGACGTGAAGACGTGGAGAGTTGCGTGTGGTTGTCCTTGAAGTAGTGGCGGGAGTAGTTGGTGGTTGACGTGGTCCGTTGCTGACGATGGAGGTCTTAGTGCTTGACGAGTCGTGATGATGCCAGGAGTCGTAGAGGAAGTCGAAGCATGAATACTGCGAGAGAGAAAAGGTGTTTGATGATAGTGAAGAGAAAGAGGATTATGCGTAGAGGGGGAAAGATTGTGATGATGAGGTGACTAGAAGATTTTCTTGTTTTTGTTGGTGGGTTTTGTGAGCAAAGGAGAGAACGACTGAGCATGAGAGCGCTAATGAGGGCTAGGAAGACGGTCAGAGAGAAGAGGAGGAATTGTTTGCATGTTTCCAAGAAATGAGAGAAGTCAGGAAGAGAGAGATCAATTGTAAATGAGGAGGTGTTTGTGTCTGTGTTATTGTCCCATAGGTGGATGTAATTCCATAGGGGTTTTATCCCATTTATGTAATTGAGTGTACCTTTGATTTCGAAAATTGTTATGTGTGAGCTACATTGAGCTTTACAAGTCTCTTGTATTCGGGCTTTGTTGAAAAATAAAAGCACATAGTTGTATGTTCCAGATCTTGTACAAGTCAATGTGAATTGTTGCATTCCACAGGTAACCTGTGCTGTCGACTCAACAGTGTCAGATTGACAGAAGATTGTGGCTACCGAGCCTTTGGCGCAGTTATAGCAACCATGTAGTTGTTGGGGAAGAATGTGGCACTGGAAATTTTCTATCTCTTGTGCAATATTTTTTGTGTTGTTGTCTAGTAGGAGTAGTAGTTCGACTGATATTGCGTGTGTTCTTATGGTGGGTATGTTGTTAACTCCTTCTGTTGTTACTAGGCCATTTGGTAGTGGTAGAGGCAAGGTGTTCGGTAGTTGCGTCATTTGTGAAATGTTGTTGTTAGTGCAATAACAATTGACCGAGTTTTCGGCGGGAGTACATTTGCATGTGTCCTTGATGATGCAATTCTGGGTGTTGTTAGTCGTTTGTTGTTCTTGTGAAGGAGAGCTACATGCGTAGCTAAATTCTGTATCTGGGCGGATGTATGCCGTTGTTTGGTTGTTAGTAATAAATCGCTGGTGTAAGATTGATATTGGGCTAAATGAGAAGGCTGTAATTTCGAAGGATGTGTTGCTTACGCGCTTGTTAGTGTACGGTGTTAATTCGAAGGTTTGGAGTCTCTGTTTGGCCCCATTTATTTGTATGGTGAGCGAGATTGTTTCGAACCATGTCGGACATTGGAAAACTTCGTAGATAGTGTCATCAACTGGTAAGTGGTATATGCGATAAAAAAGACATCCGGATGATGGATAGCCGCATGAGCATCCGAGCCAACCGCAAGACTCGGAGCAGTAGGTAATGCCGGTATAGTTGTTGGCGTCATAGAGTTCTTCGACATGGGTATTGTAGTTGATTTTGGCGCATTTGAGGTCTTTACATGTGCCCATACCGGGACATCGTTTCTGATATTTAACTTTTGTGACGGTATTCCGCGTGTAGTAGAGCGTTTCTTTGCGACATCTGAGGGTCAAAGCTTTTAAGGTTATACGCATAATATGTACTTGTCGCTTGCCGTGTGTTAGCTGAATGCAAACCTCAGGTTGCATTTGGTTAAGTTGTGTGATGAGCGTGGTTTGGTTGTGGCAGTTCTTTTCCTGTGGGCCGCACTGTGATATAGTTGATGGTATTAGCATAGTTTGCTGGCAGCAAGACACTATTGAAGTCGTGGTAGCTAGAATCGTGATTAATCGTAACATTGTTGTTGTTTTCCATTTGGTGCTGCTGTTGTCAATCGTGATAAGTGGTATGTCATCTTCTGTCTCTTGTTTTTTGGCAGGTCTGTTATAGTTGTTAATTTTGTCGAGATTCTGATTATAAGACATATCTGAAAAGCAGAGGTTAGTCGTATTCTTGGTGTACACAAAAAGCGACATAGACGCAATATTGTGTGTGTCAATAATAGCAGTTCCGTTTTAGAGGAAATTATGAGAATGGAAGAAAGGGCATGATAGAGAAATGCCGTCGGTCTGTGTTTGAGGAGGGGTTTTGGCTCTTTTATACTGGCGAAGGTGTCACGATTTATATTTTTTTGAAGAGTTATGATATGTTGGGGAGGAGCTAACAGAAGTTTCGTGTTACGGTAGCGTAGCTGTTTATTAATCGTATGACACTAATGAATAACGTAATGTGTTGCGAGTATGCGAATTATTCAATTCATAACAAGGTGTACTGTAATTGATAAGATGCTAAGAAGCATCTATCGGTCATGTAATGAAATTTTCCTTTGTGGAGAGTAGCAACCTCAACTTCGAGTCTGGAACTATAATAGCA